ACAAAATGATGCTATTCAAATAACCAATGGAAAAAAAATGTTTTGTTTTGTTGAGACAGGGTCTCACTATGTAGTACTGGCTGACCTGGAACTCATTGTAGACCAAGATAACCTGGAACTCAGAGATCCTCTGCCTTTGCCTCCCTGGTGCTGGGAATCACTCTGTTGGTGCCATTATACCAGCAGAATGATTGTTTTTCTGGTTTTGCAAGATAGTTTCTCTGAGTAGCCCTTGTTGTCTAAGAAGTAGCTCTGTAGATCTACCTGCCTTTGGCTCCCAAGTGCTGGAATTAAAGGAGTGCACCACTGCCCATCTAAAAATATCATAAATTTGACACACATAAAACTAAATAAATGACAGAATACCTTCTTTAACCAGGTTATTTAATGTGCCTAAACCCTCAGATCTGCATCTGAAAATAATAATTGTTACCTAATATAACTATTATAAAAATTAAACTAGTAAGAATTTATATAAGTGTTCAATTACTTTTTAGTTTTATGATAAATGCAAAGTATATAATACCCAATGTTACTAACTATACTAAAACCTTAACTACAAATTCTTCTATTGTTAAATTTTCAAAAACTTAACAGACTTATTGAGGAAAGACCACACAAAGCTAAAAGGTAGTGCCAATTGATAAATATAGATGAAAAGTTGGAAATAGGAACATGCTATTTGTGGCAGGAGGATCACAAGTTCAAGGCCAGCTTGGCCCAGCAAGTTCCAGATCAGTCTCATAAAAAAACAGAACACCATAATTACAGTGTAGGATAGCTGTGTAAATACACCAAAGAGCACCAAAAATTAGTGATTGAAGTTCTAAGAAGTATTTCAAAGTATATACTGCTAAGATATTTATTACTTGACAGGCGTTGGTGGCACATACCTATAATCCCAGCACCCAGGAGGCAGAGGCAGGAGGATCCCTGTGAATTCAAGGCCAACCTGGTCTACTACAAGAGTGCTAGGACAGACTCCAAGGTTACACAGAGAAACCCTATTGAAAAGCAAAAAAAAGGAAGGGAGGGAGGGAGGGATGGAAGAAAGGAAGGAAGGAAGGAAGAAAAGGAAGAAAAAAAGAAAGAAAGAAAGAAAGAAAGAAAGAAAGAAAGAAAGAAAGAAAATGAGAAGGGAGGAGAGGAAGAAACTTAGTAACCTATCAAAGTTCAAGGAAAACTGTTAAAGAGGAAGGGGGAACATACAAAACACAGTATAGAAACATGAGTATGATTAAAGAACTGAAAAGAGGAGTATTTGTGGGGAAACTGATAAAGTGATTAAGGTCAATATTTTAGTTGATAGTATATCTTTGTAACTCTTTTGTAAATAGAAAATCACCTGAAAATAAATGCAAAAAGAAAAATGAAGTAGCAAAGGAGTGGTACCTCTGTTTCTTTCTACTTCTAACCCTCTCATTTCCTTTAAACAAACCCATATTTAACAACCCTTTCATCTTTTGCTAACTCCAATCTCCAAGACTTCTTCATATACTGAGTATAAACTCCTACTACAAGCTTTATGAAATCTGGCTGTGTCTGCCTTTTCTCCCTTTTTGTGTCTCTAGCACTTAGCATAAGTCTGGCACATTGCACAGAGTATTTATTTGTTGAGAAACCAAAAAATGACAACTCTATTAGGTTTATGTATTCATTTCCTATTGCTATAGTAACAAATTAGCATAAGCTTGGTGGATTAAAACACAGACGTATTATCTTCCAAAAATGGGAATCAGAAATCTACAGTGAATCACACTAGACTGGAATCCAGACAGCAGCACTGTTTCTTCTAGGAGCCAGAGGCAACTGTTTAATTCCTTGACTTTTCCAGCTTTCTAGGCTATCTGCATCCTTTGGCTTGGTAACCAAGTCCTCCAACAGCACCACTCCAAACTCTGTTTCTATTATAAGATCTCTCTAGAATGATTGCCAGCTTACCTCCCTCCATACAAACACTGTCACTAGATGAACTAAGATAATGTCTAATAGTCCCATCTGCAAAGGTACTTTTAACAGTGTAAGGTTCTAAGGATGAAGACATGGACATCTTTGAGATGTCATTATTCAGCCTCCTATACATATCAATTGCTTTCTTTTTTTTTTTTTCTGAGACAGGGTTTCTCTGTGTAATCCTGGAACTAGCTCTGTAGTTTGAGGATGGCCTCGAACTCAAAGAAGATTCCTCTGTGCAGGGATTAAAGGTATGGGCCACCACCTTCTAGCTTCTTTTTCTTTTAAAGTCTATCCAACAAATAACTAAAAATAACTCACAAAACTATTTAGGAACTAGTGATATTTCCAAGACCAGAGTTGTCCCCTTCCACCATCATCCTATGCCCTTTTTGCAAAGCATTTGTCTTTGGTTTAGATTTAATCAAGTTATATAAGCTGTTAAACAAAGAGTCTAGATATATTTAAGCCAATTCATCATCCTTAGATTCAAGATAATCTCTTTGCTTCTGGGTTGACACTTAATATCTATGGCTGGATCTGTTGAAAACAAAGGAAATAGAACTAGAAAGCATTGGGGGAGGGCTTTAAAGGAATTAAGCATATTCATTTTCTTGTGTGGCTTAAACAGAATCCAGAAACATTTCTGAAAGCATAATAAAACTATTTTAAGAGCAAAATTAAGAGCCCTACACTGAATTTAAAAGAAAAAAACTATACTTTTTCCAGAAACAAGATCTGGCATTTCATTCAATATTTTTCTGCTTCAGTCTCCTAAATGCTGGAATTACAGGTGTTTGCATCATGCTTAACCCTTAAACATAAATTTTCAGCCATTTCTACTTCTACATTACCTTGGCTATAATCACTAGTATAATAAAAAGTACACAGAATGTTCATTCAACATGGTAACCTGCTGTAGTCTATTGAACCTATTTTTCTTGTTTGGTGGTTTTGCTCTGTTTTGACTTTCAGTAAGACCTTTTGTTCAGACTCTATGTGGAGGTGCTACATATCTAGGTGCAATTTCAAGGAGGGCTGGTCTAGAGAGATGTAGCTCAGTTAGCGAGAAGTTCAGTCCCCAAAAATCAAACAAACTGGACATGGTGGTACATGCCTATAGTTTCAGCACTTAGGAAGTAGAGGCAGGAAGCTCATAAGTTCAAGATCATTCTCAGATATATATTGATTTAGGGGCTAACCTGGAATATATCAGACCATGTCTCAAATAAAATACAATAAACTTCCTACATTAGGCACTTAGATTAAATTCAATTCTAATGGAATGGCAACCAACAGCACTTTGTAATGGGTGAAATCTGGATATTTTATAGGCACCCACACTTAAAGACACCACTAGAATTTAAATAGTAATGACCTATACTTAGTGGCTGTCTTTATTCAATCTTAATTGTGTGGTTTGTTTTTTGTTGGTATTTGCTGCTGTTGTTTTGAGGTAGGGTTGCATGTAGCCCAGGCTACAGTCAAGAATGACTAACTTCAGATCCTCCAGACCCCACCTCCCCAGTGCCAGCCACCATACCTGGTATATGTGATGTTGAGACGGCACTGAAAACTTTGCTCATGCATGTTAGGGCAAGTGCTATACCAAACTGAGCCATATTGCTAGTCCCAATCTTAATTTTAAGCATCCCATATGAATGCTGACCATTTTTCATGAGTTGACTGAGGCTACCAAGGCTTGTTCTCCTTCTATTTGACCTACATCTGCCTCAAACTATTCTCATTATAATACTTTCTATGCTATTTTGTCCCGAATTTGTTAATAGTACTAAATAAAAGTATCTATCATAAACTGGGTGGTAGTGCCAGCAGCTCACGCCTTTAATCTCAGCACTTGGGGAGCAGACACAGGTGGATCTCTATGAGTTAGAGGCCAGCCTGGTCTACAGAGTGAGTTCCAGGACAGGCTCCAAAGCTACACAGAGAAATGCTGTCTCGGGAAAAACAATCTATTATAGAAGAAAATATCTGGTAATTTAGTCATTCCCCTCATTTTTTCTTTAATTTCTCCTCACTAAACATCTTGAGCTGACTAACCTCTGTAGATTCTGGTGATTTCACTTTGCTATAAATTTTAAAGGTATGAGGATGGAATATCAATAGAAGTTTTCAAAGGGTCAAGAAAAATCTTTCCTATTTGGAAAAATATCATATGAATTTCACGTTTTTATAAGAAAAATATGAAGGTAGATACCATACTGAATACATTGCTATCATAAATTTAATTATGTAGAACAAAAATCAACCAATGAGACACATACACACTCAGATCTAAAAATGAGATGTTAATGAGAATTTGGGGAATTTCCTGAAGCTAATAAATTTCCCAAAGAATGTCACAACATAGCCTTTTTCTTTTTAAAACAGGAAAGGAAAGCAAGTATGGTGGGCATATGCCTATGACCCTAGCACTAGAGAGGTTGAGACAGTAGAACATGAGTTTGAACCCAGCCTAGGTTACAAAAAAACTCAGGGTCAGCTTGGGATACACTGAAGACCCTGTCTCAAAATAACAAATGAAAAATGATCAGTGTAGAGCAAAAACTGGTCCTATTTCCAAAGGTTGTGTTGTTTTTCTACCTAAGAGGTAGAGTATTTGCCTAGCATGAAAAGACCCAAAAATTGATCCTAGCATCATAATATAAATAAATGAGTGAATTAAATAAACAGAGGAGGAAGAGGGGGCATAACTCAACAGCAGAATACTTATATAAAGCTCCAAGTTTATTCCCAGCACTGCAAAAATTAAGATTAAAAAGTAATTGACTGGAAATACATCTCAATGATAGAGTATTTGCCTAGCATGTAAAAAGGCTCTAGATTCCATTCTCAGTATTGCCCAAAAATGAAAAACAAAGAAAGATAATTTTTAAAAAGCTTGCCATGGGCTCCTAACAGATTAGAAAAGAGCATAATGTCTCCATAATGGTACAATGGCTCTTCACTTTCTTCATCCTGGATCACTCTGGTGGTCAGGGCAGCTAAATCTGGAATTCATAAAGCCAAGAAAATTATATACCCACCTGTAGTTCACACCAAGCAACTTCAACCCAAGTTTCAGTGTCCAGTCCTTTATATACTGTTTTAAATGCTCCTCTTCCCAGCTCTATATCAAATTTCAGAAACCTGCCACTAGGGGAAGTTGCTACAGCCTTCATCTCTGCCTCTTCTTCCATTTCCTTGTCATTTTTCTCCTTGACACTATCTTTTGAGGACTCTGAGGTTGCCTTTGAGCATTGTTCATATTTAACTTCTTGCCCACCTCTTAGCACATTTGTAGGAAGTTTATCTACCCTTGAAATATTTGTTGCAGCTTTTATTCTTTCATCTCTAGGAGAGGATTCAGCAGCTTTATTGTCTTCTGTCATCTCAACACTCTTTCGGAAAAATCTCTTTCTTTCAATGGTTTCCCCGGCAGCAGAGAAGGTGCTTGTTTTTTCCTTCATTCTAGCTTCTACCGTCAGAGGTGTAACAATCTGAGCGACCCTGTTTTCCAAGGAAACCCCATCAGGTTTCTCAGAATCTTCTGTGTTAGCTGGCTCCCCAGAATCAGTGGCCATTGTAACTAGGATTGGCGCTGAACTTTTTCCTGTTTCACTTTTCAGTCCACTTGCATCTCAGGTGTCAAAATTACTAGAACACACTTCCTTTTATGTGGTCATACACTCCCATAGTGACCTGAAGGATGGAAAAAAGATAATTTTAATATCACCCTACAACAGACCTCATTAAGCAGAAAACAAGTCACCTGATTTTTAATTGCTTCTTTCTTATCTTGTTTCTGTAAAACTTAGCAACTAAGACCCCAGGGACTATGCCTTATCTTATTTAATATTTTAATATAGCATCAGTAACTAATATAGCACTTAGCATACAGTTCAGTATGTCTTCATACGCAGGAACCTAGTTCTCAGCTCATCTCAATCCACCAAATTCAATACAGGTGCCAAATCCTGAATTCACTTAGCCAAACATAGTCAGTAAAAACACATGGTTTCCAGAAGATTTTTGTCTAAGATTCTGGAACCCATCTAATAGTAGTTTCTTTAGTTGTGACAAAGTATATGTGGAATCAAATTTCCTATTTTAACTATTACAGTCCCTAACATTAATGCATTCACAATGCAATGAAATTTTTATCATTTGTGTGAGTTGGTTACCTCCTTCTACCTTCTACCTTCTACCTTCATGTGAATTCCAGGAACCAAACTCAAGCTGTCTAATAGCAAGCACTTTATACACTGTGACAGACATCTTGCTGGCCCTATTATCACCTCAATACATTCCCAAAATGATTTCATCATCTTAAGCTGAAAATCTATACTCATTATAGAAAAGTGTCCTATCCAGCTGAGTGCATGGAATGCACGTACAGTCCTAGTTACTTAGGAAGCTGAGGGTGGAGAATCACCTAAGACCTGGAAGTTCCAAGCTGGCTTGGACAAACAGCAAAACTAATTTCTAAAACAGAAGAAAAAACAGTTTTTAGGGGGCTGAGAGTAGCCCACTAGCAGATGTATGCTTAGCATGTGCAAAATTCTACGTTTGATCACCAGAACTACCAAAGAAATATCTTACCCACATCTACCCTCTCAAACCTACATTCTACTCTCTCTGAATTTACTGATTCTAGGTAAGTAAGTGGACGCATACAGTATTTATGTCTGTCTTATTTCACTTGGCATAATGTGCTCATCTCTTTTTAAGATTGGCTAATAAATACATGAAAAATATCCAATATCTCTAGTCACCAGGAAAATTAAAATCAAAACTACATCAAAATTCCATCCCACCTAAGTAAAAGTGGCTATCATAAACAAAATGCAAAAGAGGTCTGGAGGGATGACTCAGTGTTTAAGAGCATTTACTGCTCTTGCAGAGAGATCCAGGTTCGGTTTCCAGAACCCACATGGTGGCTCACAACTGTCTATAACTCCAGTTCCAGGGTTTCAATATCTCTTCTAATCTCTCTGGACTCCTGCACCTGTGTGGTGCACATACATATACTCGGACACACACATAAAACAAAATTAATACATTTTTAAAAAGAAATACAAAATAAATTATAAAGATGGGGAAATTTAAATTAATCCAGTCACTATGGAACTTAGTATAATAGTTCCTCAAAAATTAAAAATAGATCCAGGCGGTGATGGCACACGCCTTTAATCTCAGCACTCTGGAGGCAAAGACAGGCAAATCTCTGTGAGTTTGAGGCCAGCCTGGTCTACAAAGTGAGTTTCAGGACAGCCAGGGAACTCTGTCTCAGAAAACAAAACAAAATTTAAAAAAATAATGGCCATATGATCCAACTATAAAGCTTCTGAGTATGTAAAAAGATCAAAGTCAGCTTACTCTATATAAGGCATGGGGGTGTATACTTGTAACCTCAGTACTTAGGATGGAGGATCCAAAGTTTGAGGCTGGTCTGGGCTGCATAATGAGATTGTCTAAAATAAATAATGGAGGGAGGGAGGGAGGGAGGGAGGGACTTCTTCCCTCCTTACTGCAACATGCATTGGTGGTATGCTACTAAATTATATGCCTTGAATGACACAATTAAAGTTAAAGATAACATTTATCATCCATTTTCAAATAGCTAAACAAATGAAACATGTTTTTTTGAGTCAGGATCTTACTACTTAGTCCTGTCTGACTAGAACTGTGTAGACCAGACTAGCCCCAAACTTACCATATCTCCATCTTCTCAGATATAAAGAAAGCACCTACAGTACTACCTATTAGGAATCCAGGTGAACATCATGGAAAGCTTCATTGCATTACTTAACTCCTTTCTTTAAAAACATGTTTGAGATTTCTCAAAATAAAAATATTTCAGGGGACTGATGAAATGGCTCTGCTAGTTAAGTGCTTACTTGAAAAACATGAATACCTAAGTTTAGATCCTCAGCACCCTTGGGTGCAGAAATGCATGCTTGTAATTCCAGGGTTGGGAGCTAGAAAAGGGAGAATCCTTAGGATGTGCTGGCTATCTAGCTTTGCCAAATCAGTAAGCTTCAGGTTCAGTGTCTCAAAATATAAGGTGGAAGGTTGGGTGTGGTAGCATACTCCATTAATCCCACAGATCAGGAGGCAGAGACAGGCAGATCTCTATAGGTTCAAGACCAGCCTGGTCTACAGAGTTCTATGCAGCCATGACTACAAAGTTAAGACCTTGCCTCAAAAAAAGATGGCAAGCAATTAAAGAAGACAATGCACATTAACTTCTTTTTTCCACATGCACATATACATGACTATTCAAACATATCATGTATACATAAAAAAGAATTCAATGATCAGACAAAGTTAATTTAGATTGGTTAGAAATAGAAATATGACTATTAAAACAATAAAGAAAGGGGCTGGTAAAATAGCTCAGTGGATCTGCACACATGTGCAGATGATAAAACAATTTGTTGGAGTCAGTGTTCTCCTTCCACTAAGTGTGTGCTGGGGATTGAACTTGGGTTGTCAAACTTGTCAGCAGGTACTTTTACCTATTGAACCATCTCACCACCCCCTAAACTTGCTTTTTGAGTTGTACCTATAAATTCTTGAGTGCTGAAGAGATGGCTCAGAGGTCACTGGCTACTTTTCCAGAGTAACTAGGTTCAATTCCCAGCATCTACATGATGGCTCACAATAGTTTATAACTGTAGTTTCAGGGAATCCAATACCCCTTCGAGGCCTCTGTGGGCACTAGGCACATATGTGGTACATGAACAGACATCTATGCAGCAAAAACACCCATATAAATAAAAAATTTTAAAACTATATGCATAAACTATACATTTTTTGTAAATGTGTATTTCATAAGCTCAATACCTTTAGGTTTCCATTTAAACCATCATGACCAAAAGCAACTTGGGGAGGAAAGGTCTATTTCATTTTATACTTCCAGGTAACAGTACACCACTGAGGGAAGTCTGGACAGAAACCTAGAGGCAAGAACTGATGCAGAAACCATGAAAGAATGCTGCTTACTGTCTTGCTCCCCATGGCTCGCTCAACCTGCTTCCTTAAACAATTCAGGACCACCTACCCAGAGATGAAACCACAAACAGTGAACTGTGCCCTCCCACATATATCATCAATCAAGAAAATGCAACACAGGCTTGCTCACAGACGAATCTGGTGGCTGCACTTTTTCAATTGAGGTTCCCTCTTCCCAGATGATTCCAGCCTGTGTCAAGTTGACAAAAAACTAACCACCACAAAGAAAGGGGTTTTTAAAAAATGTAATAATGAATATAACATACTTTCCAAGAAGATTTGCAAAATACTGGTTACACATACTTTAAAAAATAGGTTTTGCTTTGTAACAAGCAAATTTAAGTAAAGAGTCTTTTGCTAATTGGACCACTTACTTGACATCAATATGTCAAAAGGTTCCTACAATGGACTAGTTTTAAGAATACCTCTAATAAATTCATCTTGGTTTTACACATGATACCGCTGATATATCAACTAATTCTGAATCTTTAGTTTGACATTAGGGAATGGACTCTAAATAACTCCCACAAATGACAATATGATACCAGAATATACATTTCGGCAAATATTCTAGTACATTAAATTTAAAATTTTATCAGAGATCCATACTTCTCACATTCCATAAAAGTCCTTTCAAAATGGATTAAAGATTTTAAATATGGTTTAAACTGCTAGGTAAAACACGTTAAGTTATAGGCATGGGCTGGGCTGTGGTGGCACACGCCTTTAATCCCAGCACTCAGAAGGCAAAGGGCTGATTTCCAAAATATACAATGAACTCAAGAAGCTAGCCACCAAAACACCAAACAATGAAATTAAAAACTGGGGTGCAGAACTAAATAGAGAATTCTCAACAGAGGAATCTGAAATGGCTGAAAGACGTTTAAGAAAGTGCTCAAAATCCTTGGCCATCAGAGAAATGCAACTCAAAACAACTCTGAGATACCATCTTACACCAGCCAGAATGGCTAAAATCAAAAACACTAATGACAATCTATGCTGGAGAGGATGCGGAGAAAAAGGAACACTCCTCCATTGCTGGTGGGAGTGCAAACTTGTAAGACCACTTTGGAAATCAGTATGGCGGTTGCTCAGAAAAATGGGAATCAGTCTACTTCAAGATCCAGCAATTCCTCTCTTGG